AAAAAAAAAAAAAAAAATTATATAGACTAATGACACAGGGAAGTAGTAGCAGACAGTAAGTGAAAAAGCAGATCACAAAACATATGCTAGCAGAAAAATTCTATATTAGTGCATCTAAGGATAGAAAAAAGGAATTACACATGCCAAAATGTTAAGGATTTATTTACCTTTTCTACTTTCTATCAAAATTTCCATTATAAATATGTAATACTGTAAGGGAATTCTTCTACCCCTACTTTCTTTCCACGTCTCCAAAAGTTGACAGGTTTCAAAATGTATTAGCAATAGGTTTAAGAGCACTCAGAGTAACGCTAATGTATTCCTATACCCTTAGAATCTCATACACAATCCTTTCTAATGCTCCCAATTTCTTCCTTAAATATTTCAGTAGTTGCCGGGCTCGGTGGCTCAGCCTGTAATCCTGCGCCTTTGGGAAGCTGAGGTGAGTGGATTGCCTGAGCCTGCGGGTTCGAGACCCGCCTGGGCAGCGAGACCTCATCTCTACAATAAATCAAAAAATCAGCTGGGCGTGGTAGAGCATGCCTGTAATTCCTGCTACTTGGAAGGCTGAGGCGGAAGGATCGCCGGAGCCCAGCAGGTAGAGACTGCGGTGGCTGGGAGCGGCCACTGCACTCCAGTCTGGGCGACAGAGACTCCAACTAAAAAAAAAATATATATATATATATTTCAGTAGTTAAATATTCAGGCCTAAGTCTGACAGCAAAAAGGAGGTGGCCAACGGATGTTAGAGACAATCCAAAAAATGAGACGCCAGCCTACATTCACAAATCACAGAGAAAACATTCACAAATCACAGAGAAAACACAGAGTTAACAATCTTAAGACTGCATTTTGTATTTCCTGTCACATATTAAATCATATTCCATTTTTAAGTACTTAAGTGACACAAAGGGAAAGGGAAATAAAATATGTAATATCAAAATCAAGAAGCAACTCATTCTATTATACACAGCATTCTACTCTTTCTCAAGTTACCATTGATCATCTCTGTCCTCTTTTCTCAATCATTCTAATGTCCCAGATATCCTAGTTCCCATATTCATTAGATACTTCTTTCATGAAATCCTTCACTGAAGTAACTTAATTTGTTGTTTCATGTCCATCACCATGAGCATCCACAAATATTTATTACATGCCCAATATTGTCAAAATACTGGGCTAAGGTCTAGGGTTTACAGGGATGGGAGATATTGCTGCTGGAGTTCTTTTTTTTTTTTTAAATTCAGAGTCTCACTCTGACACTCAGGCTAGAGTACAGTGGCACACTTAAGGCCAAAAACTGCAGTTTTGACCTGCTGGGTTCAGCAGTCCTTTCATCTCAGTCTTCCAAGTAGCTGGAACTCATAAGCCTGCACCACCATGCCCAGCTAATTTTTGATTTATTGTAGAGATGAGGTCTTGCCACGTAGCCCAGGATGAAAAGCAATATAAGATAGCACAGAAAAGATGTCACACTGGTACAAATATCATAGTCCCTCCTTAAACATCTATTAATTTTTTTTTAAAAAACTCTTCATATCAATTAGCAATTGAACTTCCTGAAGTCTAGGTGATAAGATTTTCCCTGGGTAGATGTACACCAGGCTATTCTGATCACTCGGGGAAAAGCATTTGGCCAAAACAATGTCTGATGGACCCATAAATGCTTGCATCCCACACAGAATTGTTTACCTACCAGTCCTCGGAATATCCCCCAGTTGTGCAAGTAAAGTCAGAAAAAAAGTCAAGCAATTTTATGAGGCAAATGGAATAAAGACTAAAATGAAATAAATACTATTTTCATCTGAGATCACGAGGTGGGGATTCTAAAATATCTAAAGAAGGGTATAACGCTTTTTGGTTCTCTTTAAGAATCCTGACAAAAACTGAGGAAGTTCTCGGAAATCTACCTAGTAAGGCTTTAGAAACAACTAGAAGCAAGATCTGTGTACTAATTGTGTATCAGCTAGTTGGATAAAACCATGGAGGCTGTATTTCCTATATGCATTAAAAAGAAAACAACAAGACTAACCCTTTTCTTTTGGACTGTATGCCATGTGCCTGTCACTTTTTAAACTCTTCATATAAACTAGCTAATTTAATCCTCATAACAACTCAATGAGGTTGATACTACAATTAACAAAAAAGTTGGCTGACAGTCTTAAGGACTTCATATACAGGATTAAGATAAATTTTTCTTTTCCTTTTTTTTTTTTTTAATTGGGGTCTCACTATGTCTTCCAGGCTGGAGTGCAGTTGTGTGATCAAAGCTTACTGCAGTCTTGACCTTCTGGGCTCAAATGATCCTTCTGCCTCAGCCTCCCGAGTACCTGGGACTACAGGTACATGCCACCACGCCTAGCTTATTCTTTTTTTATTTTTGTAGAGAGGAAGTCTTGCTATGCTGTCTAGACTGGTCTCAGATTCCTGGGCTCAAGCAATCTTCCTGTCTTAGCCTCCCAAAGTGCTGGGATTACAGGCATGAGCCACTGCAACTGGTCAAGACAGATTTTTCTAAACAGACAGAAACTATTTACAAAGTAAGTGAAAGACTGACAAGTAAAAACAAAAAAAAACAGAAAATGACAAGAATACAAATATACACGTTGTAATAATACAATTTGCAATGTAATAAAACAGTTATGTCAATGGAAACTCATACAGATATATTTAAATGAACACACACAAAAGTAAAAATAAACACAAGAGAATATTTACTATTGGCTAGTTTTTGGAGTAAATGTCAACAAAGTAACTCCCACAAATTTAATGAAATTAGTTTTTCTTAAATTTGAGGGAATTAAAAAAAATTTTTTTTTTTATTTGGAGTCTCACTCTGTCGCCCAGACTGGAGTGAAGTGGCCGCTCCCAGTCACCGCAGCCTCGACCTGCTGGGCTCTGGCGATCCTTCCGCCTCAGCCTTCCGAGTAGCCGGAATTACAGACATGCGCTACCACGCCTGGCTGATTTTTTGATTTATTGTAGAGATGAGGTCTCGCTGCCCAGGTGGGTCTCGAACCTGCGGGCTCAGGCAATCCTCTCACCTCAGCCTCCCAAAGGCGTGGGATTACAGGCTGAGCCACCGAGCCCAGCTCGAGGGAATATTTTTGTCTACATATTCATTATGGTCCTAGCAACCTAGATTTTGAAATTTAATTACACCTTGAGAAGTTTACGTAACAGCTTTGTCTGAGGACAAATAAAAGCACCATTTCACTTTGTTACTTTTATTACCTATATGAATAAAAATACACCTGAGTTTAAGATATTTTATTAACTTAAAAATGTATTATCACTTATTTAAAAAAGGGGGTTTGTTCCATCTCTGAAAATTTTTCTAATGACTAAGGAGTTCATGTTTGCCTCTTTACAGGTCATCCAATTTCTTGGTAATGTTATGGTTGTCCATGTATGCATGTACATGCCCACATGCATGTGCACACACAAAGATTAACTTTTTTTTTTTGAGTCAGAGTCTCACTCTTTTTCCCAGGCTGGAGGGCAGTGGCACACTTACGGCCACTGTAACCTTGACTTGCTGCTCTCGGGTGGTTCATCCGCCTCTGCCTCCCACAGTGCTGGAATTACAGGTATGAGCCACCGTGCCTGGCCAACATCTAAAAATCTGTTTATATTCCCAGTAGAGAGATTTCAGGGTCATATGGAAGGTCGATTTTTAGATCTTTTAGGAATTGCCAAACTGTTTTTCACAGAGACTGTACTAGTTTACACTCCCACCAACAGTGTAGAAGTGTTCCCTTTTCCCTGCATCCTCTCCAGCATCTGTTGTTTTGATGATGACCATCCTGACTGGAGTTAGGTGGTATCTCAGTGTGGTTTTAATTTGCATTTCTCTGATGACTAGTGAGGCTGAACACTTTTTCATGTATCTGTTGGCTGCTCATATGTCTTCTTTTGAGAAGTGTCTGTTCATGGGTTTTGATCAGGAATTGATTGCCAGTTCGACCCCACAATCCCCCTTCTGGGAAAATACCAGGAGGAACTCAAATCACTCTATGAAAAAGATATCTGCACATGCAATAGCAAAAACATAGAACCAACCATGCATCAAAAGAGGACTGAATTTAAAAAATGTGGTACATATACACAATGGATTTTTTTTTAATTTTAATTTTTTGAGTTGGAGTCTCACTCTGTCACCCAGGCTGAAGTGCAGTGGCACGCTCACGGCCACTGCAGCCTCGACCTGCTGGGCTCAGGTGATCCTTCTGCCTCAGTCTTCCATGTAGCTGGAACTACAGGAGTGAGCCACCACATCCGGCTAATTTTTTGATTTATTGTAGAGACAAGGTCTCACCAAGTTGCCCTGGCTGGCCTCGAACCCCTGATCTCAAGGCAATCCTCTTGCCTCGGCCTCCCAAAGTACTGGAATTACAGGCTTGAGCCACTGTGCCTGGTCACGATGGATTATTATGCAGCCCTAAAGAAGGACAAAATAATGAACTTGGAAGAAATTTGGACGGACTTAGAATCTATAACACTGAGTGATCACAGAAACAAAGAACTGAGTATCACATGTTCTCACTCATAAGCGAACCTTGAACAATTATCGTGATATTGTAAGAAAGGGACTGGCAGTGGTGGGAAACTGCCAGGGGAGTGGGGGGACACACCTCATCAACAAGGGTGCCTGCATAATGAACATTTGTACACCTAACCCTGCACTGTTTCCCACATCTTTAAAATAATGCATAGAATCATTTCCAAACTCTGAGCTCCCATACAGGGCAATAGCACATATATCAAATATGCTTTAATTTGAAGTTATCTCAATATAAGTTCTATAAGCAGAAATCTATCTCCCATAGCAAGACAGATCACTTACTGTGCCCGAAAACATCAATTTTGTGTTGCTGAAACCTCAAAAAGTTCAAAGTATATAATATCATACGTTACTAAAAAAAGGAAATATTTCAATTATGATAAACATAAATCGTGGTGACATGAAATATAACTCATATTTTAATCTTAATGTTTTACAAATCTAGATTCAAGTTATGGCAGAATTAGCTTCAAGTCAGCTTCCCAAACCAAGAACTTAGTCTTCATATCAGCTTATCTCATTTAAATTCTTATTGCATTTCAGGTTCAAAAATTCATGCAAGCTATTGTGATTCTGACTGGTGATACAATTACTGGTATTAACAACAACAAAAATCTTGAGCCTGCTTCATACAGTTTCATTTTCTCACTGTTTAAATAAAAATGTATTCAGCTGGGCAAGGTGGCTCAAACCTGTAATCCCAGCACTTTGGGAGGCTGAGGCAAGAGGACTGCCTCAGTCCAGGAGTTTGAGACTAGCCTGGCCAACTTAGTAAGACCTTGTCTCTACCATAAATAAAAAAAAACTAGCCGGGCATGGTGGCACCCACCTGTAATTCCAGCTACTAGGAAGGTTGAGGTAGAAGGATCTCCTGAGCTCAGCAGGTAAAGGCCATGAGTGTGCCAGGGCAAAGACTCTGACTCGAAAAAAAAAAAAAAGTATTTAGAATGTAAAACAAAATAGCATATTGTAAGAACTAAGAATTTCCATTTGGCTAAAATGGACAAGTAGAAAAAAACATATGAAAGGATACTCTGCTTTTTGTATCTGCAGATCTTACTGTATCTATTTGTTAGAGAGATTTGGGGATAGCATATTGAGTGAATTAAGTATTAACATAAGGCTGATTAAACTATATGAGTTAAGGTCTGGCTTTTTTTTCCCCTCTATTTTTTGCCCCCTTGCTTATAGTTGGTGCCTTGATTTGCTGAAGGACAAAAGAAGTCTTCCTCTCCATCTCCACCACTTTTACCCAGTAAAAGCCTGAAAATCCTATGTTAGAACAGCTATAAAAATCCCCTTGTATTACATAGTCTTAAACAGCAACAAGATACTTGTTTACTGCTTCTTAAGTAAGAGACACTATCTCACAGATCCTTCCAAGCAGCTATGGCCTGCTGCCTTCTGACTTTTGGACATCTTGACTTTCTCTGGACTTTCTGAGTACTCTCTCATTACCAGTCTCCACAACAGTCCCAAATATAAACTCTTCCTATTTATGACAGGGTAAATGATTTGCACAAGGATATCTTAGAAATGTGAGATACATTTCAAAGTGTATCTTCCAGATGTAATTTATTAGCTTTTGCCTTCTCCAGTTTATACAAATAAAGTATTTTATTTTAATCAGTGACAGCTAGAAAAGTAAAAAAAAATTTAAACATATCTTAAAGTACAGTATCTAATATATGTTCAAGATTAATCATACATGAACTCATTCATAATCAGGCAAATACAACATAAGATTACATAATAAATCCTTTTAAAATTTTTGCAAATATCAAAGCATAATTATTCCTATCAGGAAAAAGTAAACAACTAAGTAGGCACTTCTGGACAAAACAAAAAGGAAAATGTTAATTCCCTCAAAACATAATGACTGAAAGTTTTATCTAGATGAGTTAGATACAAGTATGATCAGACTGTCGTGTCAATGACTGGCTGCCAAAGTTACATGATTTGTCTGGAAAAGCTAGTATCCCCATCTTTCCCTCATTTCTTCGGCCTAGAGCTATACTCTCACTAGAAAGATTAACAGATTAACAGAAAGACTCTTCTCACTGGGGGTGCTCTAGGGTTTGTTTCTAACTGCACAACTCATAAACGTGGGCAGACCTAGTTTCTGATTGCCAAGTAGATTTAAATATACGTATTTTTGACCTGTGTCCCCCAAAGTGAGTGGAGATAACCTATTCTGGTAACTTGAATACTGAAGAAAAAATACAGAAGAGAAACTGAGATTCTCAGAAAGGAGTAGAAAGGAGTGGATAAATATTGTGTCACTGTCATCTTTTATAATCTTAAGGGGAGAGTTATTCCTTGTTATTCTCAATGGCTAAAGTGACTCCTGTTTAAAAAAAGAAGAATCATTTAAATTCTCTATTAACACTGTTTAGATAGTTTATAAATATTATAAATATACCTTTTAAGCATTTGCTTGATCAAAGCCTCAATCAAAATATTTGTTTTTAATTTCCACACCTAAAACAAATGGAGAATAGCAACATATAAATCAGATAATCATTCACATAATACAATTAGCATTATTTACTAATATGTTGAACCAAGTTTTTAGTAGTCCAATTTCTGACTTGAAGTTCACTTTTGTATAAAACATCATTAATAAATAACATCATCTTAAAGCAAATTAATATTAATGCTATTTTACACACAAACTTGTTTTCTTATTTATCAACTTCCTTACTTGACAATTTTATCCTGCAGTAAGATTTCTTGAGTGAAAAATGAGTAAACAAATATTCAAGTCCACAGCAAGCTAATGGTGACACTGAGATGATAAAACATATGCCCTGTGATAATTCTGCATTGAATATTTGAAGAGTGTTTGGAAACTGATGTTTCATCCAAATTTGGGGTCATTAAGTAATTCTAAGGATTGATCAATGTTACCAAAAGTAAACAGTTTAGTTAATATGTATTAAATAACTATGGAAGCAATTCTCAAGAATTCTGAGTAACTCATGAGGAAAAAAAATCCCTAGTTATCTAGATTTTCTCCATAAAATCTCATGCTTATCAAATAATTATTTTAATCCCCCTCCCTTTTTTTTGAGTTGGAGTCTCACTCTGTCGCCCAGACTGGAGTGCAGTGGCTGCTGCTGGCCACTGCAGCCTTGACCTGCTGGGCTCCAGCGATCCTTCCATCTCAGCCTTCAGAGCAGCTAGAACTACAGGCGTGCAATACCACGCCCGGCTAATGTTTTGATTAATGTAGAGATGAGGTCTCGCCAAGTTGCCCAGTCGGGTCTCGAACCCGCGGGCTCAGGCAATTCACTCACCTCAGCCTCCCAAAGCGTGGTATTACAGGCTGAGCCACCGAGACTGGTTTATTTTAATCCTTTAGTAAATAAATATATGTATTTTTCTGCTTTGTTGAAGCTTACAGACTTAAATCCTATAGAAATCAACTAATTCAGCACAATTTATTTATTTATTTGGTGGAAAGGGAGAAGAATGCTTAAAAGAAAATACCAGAACCTTGAGCTGTGCACAGAATAGCAATAGTATTTAAACACAAATGGTTCTGGTTTCTGGCCCAGATATCTTTAAGTAGAACTCATAAATTCTTAATAAGTTTAGACAAATTCAAAAGTTGATTCCAAAACTAAATATAAACTACCTACCGATTTTACACACACACACACACACACACACACACACACACACACACACACCCACCCACCCACACACACAAACACATCTCTATACCCAGATTATGCTATAATTACCAGGTGAATGTTACCTTGTGTTCCTTACTTTCAGAAATCAGTCTAACTTTCATGTACCCTTGGTAAAAAAAAAAAATTGCAACTAGGTCAAATTAGGGGATTATTAGTCCTAGCTAAGTAAGTGTCCCTTTCCAATGGATAATAAGATCCTGAGTCAATGTAGGGATTCAGGTCAATTCAAGAATCATTTACAGAAAACCTAGTCTGTGTCTGTCATTGGGGTGGCAAATATTGGACTCAGATTCAATTTTAGACTCTGTGGGGTTGACTAAGATTAGAACCAAATAGGAACTCCAAGATTGGTACTAAAATAGATTCAAATTCTCAACATTTCTCTAGCAGAAAACACAGGTGCAAATTGGAATAGAGCCTCTCATGGCTGATCTAGTCTAGAATTGCATCTTATGGAGTAGAAAGAGTAAAGCAATTCACTGAGGCATTTTCTACAGGATTTTTAGATAATACCAAAAATAGGTGAGGGCAAGGAATGAAGCAGATGTATAATATCAGAATTAATCTACAGTGTAAACTATACCAAAACAAACTATTTTTCCTTTAGAATGCAGGAATCCTATACAAAGAAGTTGCTATCAGCCTAAAAGATAGACTGGATTAATGAGGGGCTTCTAAAAACTAGTCAATACCAGAAAACAAAGGAAGCCAACAACATGCTAACTGGTATGGCCCCTACAGCTTATAGTAGTGAATTGCTGCATGTTACGTTTTATATTACTCCATTTTCTCAAATGCTTTTTTTTTTTTTTTTTGAGTTGGAATCTCACTCTGTCACCTAGACTGGAGGGCAGTGGCCGCTCCCGGCCACCGCAGCCTCGACTTGCTGGGCTCCGGTGATCCTTCCGCCTCCGCCTTCCGAGTAGCCGGAATTACAGGCGCGCGCTACCACACCCGGCTAATTTTTTGATTTTATTGTAGAGATGAGGTCTCGCCTGCACAGGCGGGTCTCGAACCCGCGGGCTCAGGCAATCCACTCACCTCAGCTTCCCAAAGGTGCGGGATTACAGGCTGAGCCACCGAGTCCGGTCATTTGCTCAAATTTAACCTTGAATGAAGAACCCAGTAGAGACAAGAAAGGTTAACCAAAAGGTTTATCTTTTCTTTTTAAAGATATATAGTAACTCAAAAGAAGGAAAGTCAGAAAATAATTGCAATATAATAAATCTTCTATTGCTAAAATAACCAGAACATTATATTTAACAAGTTATTATGCAAAATGAAGCAATTTTTATACATTTCAGATATTTTTTATGCTATTGTCTCAAAAGCTCATTAATTTACTTGATGACCGTTTTTTAAAATTATAAATCTGCACTGTCAGTTTTTCAATTTAAAGCATTACTCTGCAGCGGTGGTTCCTGAACAATGTTTTACAAATGTAATATTTAAAGTACAGTCTTCAAGCTATTTCCAACATTTCCAATGTCTTAATGGAACCACCGAGACCATTTTTATCCATTATAAGATAACAGAAACCAACTAAAACCTCAAGTTTCTTTTGCTAGAATTGTAGCAACTAGTGATTGTCCCATGTTTACTAAACCCTCAGTGGGCCATACACTATATGACTACTACTTGATGAAAGAGAACTAAGAAGTAGTTAGTGATGACAAATTTAGGAGAGCGTAAGTAATGTGTCAGACTAAAAGATAATGTTCTATAAATAAAAAAAAAACTATAGTTTCTTAAATCACAGGAAAAAAAATCAAATTTCTTTACAGTGTTTCTCTTCCTTGTCTTATGGCTATTGATATTCCCCAACCCCTAAAGGAAGCAAAAAAAAAAAAAAAAAAAAGAATTGTTAATCACAACTGCTATATCAAACTGCCCTACTGGTTCTACTCATGCTTCTCACTAGACCTGACATGTAAACTTAATGTTATTTGGTTTTATCCTGCTAATGTGCAGTTTATTTTAGATATTAAATGCATTGTTTTATTTTAAAATTGAAAGACCTATTAGATAAATTTTATATATATATATATGTTTTCTGTTAGCAAAATTAAAAAAATATATATACTTAGTTAAATCTGCAAGGTGCTCTGACATTTGAATAAGTTTGAGATCCAGAATTCTAAATGGCTTCTCTATGTATAAAAGCACATAGTGTTTTTATTTGCCTTAGCGGTGACACAAATAATCTACAGCATAACTTTTAGAGAGTATGACTTAATCACGTTTAAAACATCAATTTTAGTAGTCTTTAAGATGTGCTGAAGCCGGGCTCGGCGGCTCAGTCTGTAATCCCGCGCTTTGGGAGGCTGCGGTGAGTGGATTACTTGAGCCCGCGGGTTCGAGACCCGCCTGGGCAACTTGGCGAGACCTCATCTCTACAATAAATCAAAAAAAAATTAGCAGGGTGTGGTAGCGCGCGCCTGTAGTTCCAGCTACTCAGAAGGCTGAGGCGGAAGGATCGCCGGAGCCCACGAGGCTGCGGCGGCCGGGAGCGGCCATTGCACTGCAGTCTGGGTGAGTGAGACTCCAACTCAAAAAAAAAAAAAACTAGCCGGGCTCTGTGGCTTAGTCTAT